AGGTTGCTTTTATGCTATCGAAAGAATGTGCGGAATGCGTGTAGGCGAAACAACGCTTAGGTGAAACAATGCATGCTTGGGTCATTAGGTTTTGTTAACGACCTTGTTTACTCGAAACCGGTTTTTGTGACGACATTTGCCGAAAATTTCGCTTCTTTTATTGAGTAAATTGTCTTTGTTTATGTCTTTCAAAATGCAAAAATTTTCTTCCAAACATAAATTGCAGCGTTTTGATCCCCCTGTGTACGAAATAGCGTGTTTTAAAATTGACCATTTGATGGTATAATCCTGATTGTTTTCTTTTAATTTCCAAATATGTTTCGAAAGTTCCGTTTTGTTTGAGTCTTTTTATGACGAAAAGATGAAGTGTGGTTAGCGTAACGTTCCTTAAATGTAGTCGCTGTCATACCAATGTAGTGTTTAGTGTCGTTCGTGTTGTTCGTTGTGACTGTTGCTTTGTAAATAATGTTGTTGGTCATGCATTGTTTCGGTGGTGGGCAAGTGTTTTTGTTGTCGCAGTTACAGTTGTCAGTTTCCGTATTCTGTGATTGACTGTTCCTAATTATATGTGCGTTGTGTTTGGTGATTATAGACTTAACGTTGTTCATGCAACTGTAGCTCACTTTTAAAGTGTTTCTGTTAAAAATCTTGTGTAGTTTGTGCTGTAGCGGGAAGTGTTTGTCAATTAAACTTAAGAATTCCCGTCCTATGTTCGTGTTAACACTCTTACTAAATGGTGGGTTAAACCAAATTATGTTGCGTTGCCTATTCCTACGTGTCCGTTGCGGTGCATTCTCAGTGTACGTAAATTCATGATCAAAGTTACTATGTGTAAGAGCGTTCTGGTAAATAGGTGTGGATTCCTTAAATGTTTGTTTGTCCGATGAGAGAAGTGCAATGCGTTTGTTGATAGCTGTAGGTAATTGTCTTGTAATGCTTGGTGGATGGTTTGAGTGTCTGTGGATGTACAATGGATCGTCATTGGGTTTCCTGTATGGTTTGTGTTTTGCGTTGATCAGGTCGAAAGTAACATCTAAAAATTTACAACGTTCATATTTACTTCGGCGGTGATTTTAAGGTCAAATTGCTCGAAAATTTTGTGTAGCTCTTTTCTAGTTTTGTCTAGTAAACGGGCGGATTTGCTTTTTATAATAGCCAAACCATCATCTCTATAAAGTCCGATGTTTTCCTTTCCAAACCTCTTACCTAAGTGATTTAAAATGAAAAGGCCTACCAGCTCACAAATTTCAGCGCCGTCGAAACTACCCATAGTGACGTCAAATAAACTGTTGCTTCCGTCTTTTTTGTCCATAATTTGCCGTTGCCGAAAAGTAGAGATTTTCTTGCGTGGTTTATTATTGAAATATCGTTTTCGGTAATAGTAGTCAAATCCGAAGCCCAGGCCAATGCTTCATTTAAAAGTTTTTCGGAAATGGATGGGTAAAAATCCACAATATCAAATGAAATAAAACTGTGCCTGTCTTTATCGTTTATATTGCCAAACCATGAAATTACTTGTCGCGTATTTCTCCATTGATTTGAATTCCACTGTTGTGGTTTTTTGAGGTAAAACGAAAAACTATATTACGCTCTTTCTTAAGCTATATATATATATATATATATATATATATATATATATATATATATATATATATATATATATATATATATATATATATATATATATATATATTGTCTAGACGCTCTATGCCTCTATCTATATAGTATTGAGCACTGTTTGTGTTTCGTAAACCAAAACCTTAAGATATACATGGGCCTCATCGGCACTACACTGATGAGGCCCATCAGGTCGAACCGGTACCGTCTGTAGTTAGATTTCGCTCTATGGCCTTTACGTCATATTGAGCGCTCTACAACAACACCGCGGAAAAACGTCTGCGCATGCACCAAATTATGAAAATATGGCGGGGAATTTGAATATCAATTTCTAAAACAAAACATGCTTATTAATTGGTCAAAAATTAGTAAAACAAACGAGAAAATATAGCAAATGGGTAGACTAGACATTAATTGAAAGCGTCCTGGCATTTAAAGTATGGAATGAAATATAATTCATGTAAAAATTGTTGATTTTAACGGACACGACTTCGAAAATTTTTGCAAAATTATTCAAAACAAAATTTCAAACTCAAAAGTTAAGAAAACTCTCGAAAAGTTAAGCTTCTTAACCCACTCAAATTGTAGAATAAATCCTAAAGTTTAATTATTGTGAACACGAAAATTTTTTATATTTGGCGACACAGTTTTTTTAAAGAAATGTATCTCAAACGAAAATTCGGAAATTGTCGTTGCTTAGTTGATAAACAAAATGTTTCAGACGATAAATTTGTCAACAATCACCTTTAGTTCATGTTCTTGTACAATACAACTTCTTGAACCTTCTGGTTGTATTTATTCCTAGTTTTTAGAATGACATGTTTATTTTTGCGCTCGAAATCTGGCTGTAAAGACGCACAATGAAGTCACTCCTTTTTACCGCCATTTTGAGCCTTCGGAAACGTTCGGAACAGCTTCTCATCAAGTTCGCAATACTATTACAGGTAAGGTTGACGCATGCGCAGACGTTTTTCCGCGGTGTTCCACAGAACAGGATATTTTCCGTTACAATTTCACACACGCATCTCCAGTTTTATGTTCCACAAGTCTACACCTACACTTATATTTCTTAGGTTCACATTTATACATATACAAGTGAGTTTTTTATCTTTTATTCTCAGTTTTATTAAATACAACATTTTTTCACAAGCATACATTGTGCGAACAACACGAGGCCATCACACTATCAATATTTCACACTACATTTTTGATCTAACATTTAGGGACTATTGTGGCATAAATTTATTACTAGGGCACCAATATGGTTCTCATTACCTATATCTAAACTTAAAAAACCCGCGGAAATTTTTCTCTTCTTTTCCCTCTGCCTTTCCATTTTTTCTACTTTTTCCCCTAGCCCTAACACCTTTTTCTTCCCTAGCCCTAAGACCCTTTGATTCTTTTCCCCCACCCCAGAGGGGGGGGGGGGGAATTATAGAAGAATATACACCCCTGAAGTATAGTTAACCAGCACTTAGGGTGTAGTCGTCACCACGCTTGCCTTACTAGACATAACTCTGTATGAGGAACCTCTAAGGACAAAATATTTATGATCAGAGCCTCGGACAGGACTTCACACGTCAGTTGAACTTACTAGACATTCGTTTCGTATACAAGGTTAAATTCTTGATAAATGGAAAAGAATGGACGACATCCTCCCTTGCCATCGTAATTTGGTGTGACATGAACCACAATGTGTTTCAGGAAAATAGATCTGCCCGAAATAGATATTTTGCGCGCCATGTAATCGTCCAGATAATGCACGTATCTAGGATGGGAAAAGGATGATGA